GGGAGGGGGTGGGGGGGAAAGAAGAAAGAAAGGAAGGGGGGAAAAAAGAAAGAGAGGTTTTTCACTCCCGCTCCTGGTCAGCACCGTGGCCCCACTTAGACGCGCCACACGCAGCTCACTAGTTAAACAAGCCTTTAAAACACAGAAGCCAGGAGGGGGAAGGAACAAAACGCATGCGGTTGCTGCCAGTGCCCACATCCCCCCTGCTGCGAAAGACAGCGGGGATCTGCGCACCCCGATGAACTGAGATGGGAAAGGAAGGGAGCGGCGGGAGGGGAAGGAGAGAGAGAGAGAGAGCAGGAGAAACCGAAAACCCGAAAACGCCCCTTCCCAAAGATTTAGGAGTTTTCCCTCTTCCCCCGGAGCCCGGGCTGCACAAGGCAAGGGGACATCCCTGCCCTCTCCCTCCCTCCTGGACGCTCCTGACCTAGCTTAGCCCAGGGATGACCAAACCGCTCGGGTACAGCGGAGAAAGGGACTTCCAGCTCTGCTAGCTTCGCCTAACATCGCCCTCCCTCACACATGCGCCAGCCCCGCTAAAAGCTGCTCTTTCTGTGCGGACCCCAATCGGAACTTGTGCCTCTACAGAGGCGCTCGGCGTCCCGGCCGCTCCACCTCTAGGACACGGCAGCGGTGGCTTCGCTAGGGACCACGACCCTTCCCGTTACACTTTTGCACCGTATTTCTTTCTATTTGCAAATTTTTATTTACACACACCCGTTTCTATATGTACACACGCATATATATATTAGTGTAGTTCTCCTCCCGTCCCCCTTGCTAAAATGCATTTGCAATGCTTTGGCTTTATAAGCCTTTTCATAATTCAACCTCACAAACCCTTCTCCTTTCTTCTCCTACCTTGAATTGAGCCTTCCTGCACGAATGGAAGGGAAACTTATCGCCGACAACTCTGCGCAGCAAATAATGCGTTTCTGGGGTCACACGCTGGAGGGGATGGCGGGGTTCTCGCCCCCATGCAAGAGAGGGGGAACAGCTCACCCATCACTAGGTGAACACGGGAATTTGCTCCAGCTCCCTTTCCTACAGCTGCACAGCCTCGTCTCCCACCTCAGCCAACTTCCTCGGCATTTAATACAGTTAACATAATTCCACAATTAAATATGTGTACACACATACACATGCACACGCACGCAGACTTTTAGGCAATCCACATACCCGTAAGAACTGCTCTTAAATTTGAATTAGTATTTATACACCCCGCATTCCACTTCATTAGAGATATAGTCTGTGACATATACTTGTGGGCATGGGTGTTTATTTAGGCACGACTTTAGAGCTTTTGTGTACATATTCAGCCGCACCAACCTCCAAATTATGTCGTTCTGTGGAGGAAAAAAAAAAAGACGGCTAAACCGCAAAAGAACAGAGTCATCATCAAGTCTGTAGGTAGAAAAGTTGGTGGGGGGGATTGCCCACATGTCTGACAATTATATATTAGGTCAGAGTCTAATTCAAAGTCGACTCGAACATAATATATAGCTCTTATTTTAAATATTGTAGCAAACGAAACTTATGGCGTGGAAACTTTAAAAAGTTGCAAATTTTGTTGTTTAAATTATGAGTGCCGAATTATCACAAAAGGTTAAGTAAGCACATCTCACTCCCCAACGTGCTCCTTTCTTTTGCAGTCAGCGAAAGGACGACGTTTAAAAGCGCCATTCCAACGTGCACTTAAAAGTAATGCAAAATAAAGCAAGTGGATTGCTTCTGGTGATAGTAAAACTTTGAGAATAACCTCACAACATATCTTAAAGGAATGATCTGCTTGCGAATTGCGCGATGGAGAAGGAAAAATTTTCTTTATTTCAATTCAGAATTACAAAGAAATTAGAAAGGTGCCTTAGGTGGGAGATATTTGCTCTTGAAACTTTCCATAAACAAAATAGTGTCCATACCTCAATGCAAAGTTCTGGATTGGCAAACCAAGTAGACGCTACTAAAACGGATCACCATGACCCAGGAGTACAAATAATAAACACACTTGAAATTCCTGCTTTGGTTTCTCTGTAGTGTCAGGATTGGCAACTCTCACATTTTATCAGTTACCAGATTTTAATGTGAGGAAGGAAGCGGTTCCATTATCTAAATATACCCAATTGTTCGCGAACAGATGATGGGCAATTTGATCTGCTCTGTCTAATTCATCAGTACAGATAAGATAAGAAAGAAAAGGCAGTCAGATATCACCAAAGGGGTTAATATTTAAAAACATTTCAGACTAGGTTTTAACCTTCCCATAAATAAATCCCTCCTCCTAAAAGAAATTTCGATTTTATTTGTTTTGCTGTTGTTGTTTTTACAGGCTTGGTTTAAATAGGTATGCTTGCCCATGGATTTATTTTTACATACTTGAGGTGCCTTCCTTATGAAAGCCCCCGTGCCTTTGCAAAACACACAGAGATGCATTTCCCAGGTTGGGGCTGAGAGTGTTCAGTTCCGTGTTGCTCCTAATCGCTACTACCAGTGGAAACAGCCGCCGTTTCATACAGTTTCCCACTTTGTCAGAATCACAGAGAACATTACCAAAATCCTCAGGAGGGTCCCACACAGTCACTAGCTGCTTCCGAATGTGTTTTTATTTATACAGAGATTTGCATTTTAATTTAGGCAATTAAAAACTTGTCGGCTCGAACTTTTCCCCCCTTCATCTGTTTACCTTTGGGGCATTCACTTAAAAACATCACAGTCGTCCTTTCGCCCTCTTCCTCAGCATTTTTTTTCTGTTCTTGACTCTCCCAGATTTATAAAATAATACTAAAAAATCTCACCGAATAATTAAACAACATAAATGGCGTACCTGATATAATCTCTTTTACAGTAGGTTTTCCCATCCCTAACAAAGCACGTACAGGTCTCGTCCAAATACTGATCACACTCTGCACACTTCAAACACGCTGCATGCCATTCCAAATCCGGAGAAACCCTCAGAATATACTGATCGTGAATTTGATTGCCGCAACCAACACATAGGGAAATCAGACGTTTTTCTGAAATGAAAATAAATACATGATTGACTAACCGTTTACTCTCCTACAGAGATAAACACACTTTTAGTGTCATTCCCTTATAGGGCGTACTCTGGGATTTCTTTCTTTCTCTCTTTCTCTCTCTTTCCACTTTTGGATAGTAATTGAAGTGTGCCATCAAAACTTTGCCTCGTTTGGAGAGGAGGCGGAACATACGTTAAAATGTAGATGTGAACCGTCTTCAGAGTGCAGCTCCTCATTTCGCTAGCCTTGCACGGCATCAAAACTCCAAACTGCCTCGTCGCTTTATCTTTTATGTCACTGTTTCTTTGCTGCGATTCTTTTCCTTACGAGGAGAGCATCTATGCGTTTGACCGCATTTTTTAAGAGGCTCTGGTTGGGAACGGTGAACGCGTGGCTGGGTGCGCTTCCCATTCAGCCCTTTGCCGTGGGGGACGGGGCTGGAGGCTGCTAGTGACAACAAGCATCGTTACGGTTGTCACTTACTCTTTGGCAAGTCCCGTGCTCATCCCCCGGCTGGGCTAGGTAGCCAGATCTGCGCTCTAGCACGAAGGGAATTTGAGGCTTCGTGGCTGGAGAGCCCCTTAAGGTCCTGCCCGCTCCCCAAACTTTAAAATAGAGCAGGACCCCAGACTATGCTATTAACATACGAGGTTAAAACACAGCAAACATGCAGGCATGGTAACAAAGGCACCTTCTCTATCATTCAAGTGAAGTTCCGCTCCTTAGCACTTTGCCTGTCTGAGACCATCATAACAGAGAGCACATTTATTCCAATAACGGTAAAAATTCCGCCTTACTTTTTGGAGGGTCTCCCATGTCTCCCATATCTGTGAGAGGGTGTAATGTCCAGAGTGAAATGGTGTACGGTTGCGTTTTAAGAACCCCAAGGTAGACTTTTGAGAGTTGCCGCTAAGAACAAACAAACAAACAAACAAACAAAGTAGCGATAATAATAAGAACAAAAAAAAAAAGGACTCGAAATGAAGAAGGGGTAGAAAAAATGATAATTAAAAACAATAAGAAGGCGCCGCCAGGAAGGCGGGAGAGGCTG